AGGAATACACTCAAAAATCAGATATTTATTCTTTCGGAATAATTATGTCGGAAGTTTTTACTGGATATCCTCCATATAATGATATTCCACATGATAATGAACTAGCAATTCAAATTTGTTATGGCCTTAGACCTAAAATTAGATGTGAAGCTCCTCAATTACTTTTGGATCTGATGAATAAATGCTTAGACGCAGAACCTCAAAACCGACCAACTGCTGAGGAATTAGCTAATACGTTGAATTATTTTTATTATGAGTTAAAAAATAAAGAAACTGAGTTATATAAGCAAGTTAAAAATATTAAAGACTTAGATAAAATTTCTAACATGTGATCAAGTCAAATCGACACGATTTAAATATCAGACACATCCACAAGCTATTTATACAAGTCGACTTTTGAATCTTTCAAAACTCCCTAAACCAGGTAGTAACATTTATTCACATTTTAAAAAATCAGTAATTTGCTATTAATTGTAAAAATTTCTGAATCTGCCAATATGTTAATATAGTTAATACAGGTAATGATATTTATTTTCTTGAATTTGGATTTAAACGGTAGTTTTAATATATGTATATATTTTTAGGAAGTCAATGCATTGATGATTTTGAAATCCCTTGATATTTGGTTTACTTATAATTAGACAGACTTATTGCTTATTTTATATTGGTATTTAGATGATTAAATCAAGTAAAAAGAAGTTATTGAATTGGGAACATTCCATTTATTATTGCCATGTTATGATAATTATTAATATACTTTCTAATGTTATCGTTATTACTGTTATACTGTAGTGTAATTAAATTTAACTACAGTAGTAGTTTATCTCCATACGAAATTCGCTATTATATAAAGTATGTAGTTCTTTTTACTATTTAGGTTTATTTTAGTTAAGAGTTAATACTAGGTTGACAGGAACTGTTGAGTCCGAAGCCTAACCTTATTACTGTTTTTAATATTAATTAATTATCGGTCAATAAGAATATTATCACGTGGCGGACAAACGGACATTTTTCAACTTTTATAAGTCCTTGCTAGGCTTCGGAGAATCAGCCAATCACAAGAAAGTCACGTGCCAGACAGAATTCAAGTCAAAAGTCTAGTACGGGCGTAAGCATAGCGGGCTTTTATACTTATTGGCTAATTTTTGTAGATCATTTGATGACGCTACAAAATCTGATTGGCTAATAGAAACGAGTTCGAAATAAATTTTTTTTTAGAAATTATTAACAAGAAAGATTTAAACCGTAAATTCGAATTTATAATGGCGATTTTTTAATATATTGACCCTGGCAGCCATTGTCAAATGTGTATCTGGTTAAGCTAAACAAAAAAAAAGCAATATCTTTAAACTAATAATTTCTTAAATACATATATAAATAATCTTTATTAACCAAATCGCTTACTAACTATACATAGCTGATAGTTTAATAATGTAATACACGCACATGGAGAATAAAAAACCTATAGAATTAACTATAAAACATGGATATAATCATACATATCCTTCGCATACTCTATATACTCTATATATATCTAATATATTGTAGACTTAGTCGAGTTACCTATGTTCAAAAAATATTTAAAAAAACTAACTGTAAGTTTTGTTGTTTAAATCGTTATTTTCAAGTTTTTTTTTTAAAAAGCTTAACACTTATTAGCCAAGGTACGAATTACCTTGCCAATTGCTGAATTACCTTGACATATAAGACAAAAAGTGCACCCTGTCGCTAACTTCTGGATTATTTCTTCAATTTCCGAATTATTTTTACTGTAGGTAGAGTAAAAGGTGTAGTTTCATAATTTATTTGTCATATCCTTTGACAATTCGTTTTCATGGTTGCCAATTTGGTTAAAGTCAGATGATATATGTAGTGTAATATGTGACGATATATTTAGCGTGATCTTAGATCATGCTTGGGCCGCGGCAGCTAGGTCGGTTTCTGGGGCTCACAATATGTATATATATAGTATATATATATAATTAGAATTTGCTCCGGACATTAGCAGATCCTGTTAACAATAATATGCATTTGCGGAATTAAGCAGGCAATGGTCACCAAACCCAAGCATTTATTCATCAATCAATGTTAAAAATTTTTTATCTGTACCGATAACGCGTCTAACCAATCCACTCCTGACGCATCTAATTAGACATAGGAATTTATTAAAATGACGCGTCATAACTTGGGGAATGTTGACTATTTCAGTCAAAATCTATATTTACATATTAGTAGTCAAATTTTTTAAATTTTGAGGTGGTTTACAAATGCGCCGTAATGTTCGTATCAACCTGCTCGCATATTTATTATAATAAAAACCCGATTAACAAATAATCCCTAATTGTTACATATTTTATACACACTAATACGTACGCCGCATTCCAGATAATATACTGTACGTTTTTGATAACCAAAGTTTTTTTTTTGACAGTCATGTCGGATTTACTTAGGCGACATCCATAATTTACGTTAAACAAGTACTATATTGTATAGAAATAGATAATACCATCTGGTATTATTTTTGCATTACCTTTAAATTTTCTATAACAATACCGTTTTTTAGCATTAATTATGGATGCCGCCTTATTTGTGCCAGTTACACAAACCAAAAAAGGAAAAAAAGGAAACAGAGTAAATTTGAAATTTATTAAATATTAGGGTTAGGACCTAGGTTAGGATTAGTGAGTGCTATAGGTAAAATTACCTCCCCAACATTTTTTGTTAATACACAAAAGTAGATTTAGACTACTGTTTCTTGTATTTTTTGTTTTGCTTCGTCGGGTTGATCCGGTTTCTATGTCGGGCTAATCCGGAATACCCAAAATTAGTGTCCTCTGATTGGCCATTTCCTTTTTAGGTACAAATAAGTAAAGCCTATCCATATCTAAAATGATAAATATATATAATATGTTTACAAGTTTCTAGAAGTATAGTGTCCTCAGCTATGCTTCGGACAACTAGTATTACAATAAATAGTAAAAATATTCGCTTCTAAGTGAAGTTCTTAGGGGTTACTGCTTGATTATTTTGCACAATGAATATAGAAGTTAGAAATGGCTTTTACGGTTTTAGGCAGGTCCCTGAAATAAAAAGTTCTATAAATTTAAGTAAATTGCCAATCAGACGAATGCCTGAGGTCGGGATGATCGACAATAACAGAAAAATATAAATAACGATTTTTTTCCCCCTATTTTCACTGTTTTCACAACTTACTGTAGTAATGGAAGTAATTGAAATAAGTAAGCGATTTTTCTTATTAAATTTTACATGTTTGTCCCTCTCTTTGTTGAGATGTAGAAAACCTTGAAAGAAGTTTCTATGATTCGTTCCTCTTTTCGTGGAAATGGTATCTCTCTTCGTGGAAATGGTCTCTCTCTCTTCGTGGAAATGGTCTCTTTCTTCGTGGAAATGATCTCTCTCTCTTTGTGGAAATGATCTCTCTCTCTTCGTGGAAATGGTCCCTCTCTTCGTGGAAATGTAAGAAACCTTGAAAGAAGTTTCTATGATGAAAGATCTATTGATTCTGGAGGAAGAATCAGTTATGCCCTTCTTTCGTAACAGTCATAGAAGCTTTATTTATTTTCGTGTCGTATCGTATCGTATCGTATCGTATCGTATCGTGTCGTGTCGTAAAGAAGTATATGATGAAAGGTCTACTGATTCTGGAGGAGGAATCAGTTATGTCTTCCTTTCGTAACAGTCATAGAAACTTTATTATACTTTCGTGCCGTATCGTATCGTATCGTATCGTGTTGTGTCGTTAAAGAAGGAATTGGTTATGTTTTTTTCGTAACAGTCATAGAAACTTCGTTCATTCTTTTCTACGTATCGTTATCGTATCGTAATCGTATCGTTATCGTATCGTTGTCGTATCGTTATCGTATCGTTATCATTATCGTATCGTTATCGTGTCGCGTTGTGTCATATGTCATTAATCCCTTTTACTCTTTTTTATGTATTTACATTTCTGTTTTAGGCCGCAAAAAACAAAAGCTCTGTTGCCCAACCGATTATTCGGTCTTCGTAGGTGGTGATCTGTTCAATGTGGATAAAGATAAACTCAAAATTCTGCTCAGCCCAATCGTGAAAATTTCGAGCTATCATGTTCTTAAAAAAATAGAGAAAAAGTACAGCCAACTTTTTATTGTTGTTGAATTTCTATAGTATTTTTACTAACGATATTGTAGTTTTGGACATGTACATTTCGATTCGAAAGAAATCGCGGAAAACTTTTACGGAACTGTTCAAGAAAATACATTTACCGTTTATGATCAAGAATTAGACAAAAGGATCGAGATGTATTTTTTACCATCGAGACCTTACGAAAACTCAAATGAAGAAAGAAATTTCGACGAAAACAGGAGATCAACAGTAGAAAGTAACCGAAGACCAAATGTAAATAATTTATTGCCCTTGTGTTATTAATTTTCTCATTATTAGTGAATTTATTCATTTATTTTATTCCAGCAAAGAAGTTCACCCTCATTAACAGTATCGAATTTCACGGAGGCACCAGCATTATCCTTATCGACAAGATTGTCTCACTCTGAAACGACACCAGAATTACCTTTGACTGAAACAACATATTCCAGAACAGTAAAAACTTCTGGTGTAGCAGTATCGCAACAAATTGTAGATGCACCCTCTTTGACAGTCACGGAAGCACCAGGATTACCTTTGGCCAAAACAACACAATCCAGAACTGTAGAATCGTCTGGTGTAGCACCTCTTACAGCGCAACAAATTTTAGATTTACGTTTTAATAAACTATTTCAAATTTGTCAGAACACCAATACCAAATTATGTCAAATTAACGCAGAATAGAAAATCAAATCGACGAAATTTGGCTTAAATTAGAGAACAGTAAAAATGAGGTTCAGGTTGATGCTGAAGATTCGCTCTTCGGTAATTATAATGATGGGATTATAAACTAAGGCTTTTTAAGAAATTTTCATCTATTCATAGTTTAGTAGAAATTGCTTGAAATTATCTAGTTCTTGAAATGATATATTAATCAATGTTGTGGTGAATTATAAGAAATTGTAGTGGTGGATTATAAGAAATTTTTTCAATATTGTTAAATATTATGGTGGGAAATAAATATAAGAAATTTTTCAATATTGTTGAATATTATAGTACTGTACTGGTCTATCCAAAAGCGTGATAGAATTACGAAACTAAAAATTAACAGTTTATGTTGATCCAGCCTGGGAGTATAATTTTTGCATATTTAAAGTGCGATATTCAATTCTTTTTAAATGTTGCATAATGAAAACCTAAAAAATGAAAATTTTCAATAGCGATTGGATTTATTTCAAAAACGATTAATTCACGAACAAGGGTATTTTGCAGACGATTAATTTACTGACAGATTTATTTCGTAGACAGTTTATTTTTCTGACGGCTTATTTCAAATAGAAGATTTTTTTTTTAACCTAAACGAAAGTGGACTAGAATTACTTTTCTGTGAAGTGAGACCATGAAATGAATTTGTTTGTGAACTAATCGCCTGTAAAATGTTCTTGTCTATAAATTAATTGTCTGTGAGTTGAGTTGCCTGTAATGACCGACACCGAAAATTTTTCGTTAATTAAACTGGCAAGTGTAAAAATTATTTATTGATTGAATTATTCGAAATCATCTACATGTTTCATTCTAAATTATTCTTATCTGAATTAATTTAGTCGATGGGCTTGTTTCGAGTAACAAGTAATAGCGAAAAATTTGGTGTGCCATGAGGTACAATGAGCCAAACCAGAAGCATTCAGAAAATCACTTCGTCTGAATGCTCTCCATTCTGATCTGACTCGAAGATCATGGCACCGCCAAATTTTTACACCATTACTTTGTCACTTGTTAGTTTCCATTCATGTAAGAGAAACTGCTAGGTTAATGTTCCTTATCATTTGTTGTGCTTGTAAATTTTCGATGGCATATGACAAACTACGTGCGTTGACTGAAGTCTTTATTTAATCTATCGTAATTGAGTGCCACGATTATTAGCACTATGTCGAATCAAATTCAGAGATGCATTATTCAGTGAATATTAACCTTTTTGTAAATCTGTACGTCTAAATAAGCACTGTCTCGCATATTTGATTTTATTTAGTATATAATGCAAAATTATGTGAAATTTGTGGATCATAAAAAAAAAAAATTCGATGATTTCTGATTAAGAAATGATTCTGATTGCCGATTTCTTTAACATTTTTTTTGCAGAAATAAAGTTGTAGATTTTATAATATATTTTGATTTAGCATCTTTTGTAAGAATATAATTTGCATATTCATCATGTTGTAAAGAACTTATTGTGTAATATTAAATTTTGTTTCTTTTCTAGCCCGATAAAATTTACTATTGCATGATAAGCAAGAAGTTGCGCCAAATTCGATCTTATAAGAATTATTACATGTTCCGGGATAATAATTTTTGTCATTATAAATTAAAAAAAAAAGTATGTTAAATAAATATATATATATATAACGATAAGTCTTTATATAGTATCTGGTATTAGTTAATATATATACGTCATCAGAAGTAATGTTAAAGAATCGGCAATCAGAAATCAGAAATTATCGATTTCTTTTTTTTTGCAAACCGCAATAATCTCTAAAATCCACTTGTTTATTCTATCAACAGGAAATTTTATAAATAGATAAATAATGATTACTAATAAATAATCGATAACTATCGATGGTATGGATTATAAACGATGCTTATCATTATAACTATCGATAATTCTTATCGATTATTTGTTAGTAATCATAATTTTATCTATTTATAAAATTTCCTGAGTGCACTACAAAATTTCACTATTCAATATTCATTATAACCTGATTTCGTTTTAATCCGTCAGTTACGTATTATTTGTAATAAAATCTATAATTTTCAATTAATTATTAAGGGCCATTACCTTTTGCAGTCAATTTTGAGCAAGATTCATAAAAAATTGGAGTTTTTAACTGATTTCTGCATTAATTTAGATGGGACCGATTAGAGACCGATTAAGGACCGATCAGCCAAATTTTTCTGGTCCTAATCGGTCCCATCTAAAGAAATAATTTACTTATTAGACGGATACTAATTAAAATGCCAAAGCTGATTATTAATGCGGGGCCGATTAACATCTTCAACGATAATTCGAAAAGCATGACAATTGTAGGTAAACCAGTAATTTATTTTTTCACCAAAATTCCTGGTGGAATGCATCAGAGCTAGAGTTAGGGTTAGCTATACTGGTTAGCAGGAGCTATAGTAAAATTATCAGCTGGGCTCTTTTTACTTAATAAACGACTACGATTTCATTAGTAAAATTTTTTTTAATTCCGGCCCGTCCGACCAGTGTTCCGATGCATTCCGACCTGTATGAGTTCAGTAATTTACGATTGGTCCAAAACCGGTTTAATTTGTTGCTTTGATTACCTAATGATCAGCCAATCAGATCTCAATCCTGAAATAGGAATCCCATAATTTTTTATTTACATCATCGTTGATGGTACTGTATATAAATAAACAGGTATACCTACTAGTGTCGTCTCTTCGGAGCGACACTTATTAAAATTGGAACGATACAGAGAAGATTAGCATGGCCCCTGCACAAGGATGACACGTTCAATCTTGAGTGGATGCGCCTTCGGGTGCAAAATTTTTTTTTTCTTTTTTTGTATGCTATCAAAAATATTTAAATAATCCCTCAACGTTATTAATTTTTGGAACGAGTTTACAAGAAATGAGTCATTTTCAAATGTTTATACAGAAAACATTAATCTTATTAATAGAACTGCATATAGCTTTGACCGTAAAAGCATTATTTATCCATCAATCCAGTAAGGTAAGTACCATAATTCGCACGTGGAGTAACATAGATAAAATCGCACTTGATTTGTATCGGTCTATTATTTGTATGTTTGTACAAAATCTGGATACACTAAGCTTTTTACTACATTTAAGGCAAATTTTTTGATAAAAAATTTACTTGTTAATGTAAATGCACGACAGATTAAATAAATTTTATGAAACATGACGTACGTACGTACAAAAAATTGTTCTATAACAGATAACTGATAGTGATAATGACCCTTACTCGTATAGTATACTCCCGTTATACAATATGCCCGGGATATAAAAATCTGTGTAAATTGTAAAAGACCCTATGTATTTTCCATGGCGAAATACGGTAGGTAGTCTTTCGTTCATATTTAATTTTCAACGTTATTGACCCAGCGAATGAGGATGTAAGAATTTCAACAAAAGAGCATTCTGGATGTTTAGTATTCGGATTTTGATATTATTTAAATAAAATTTAAACTAATTATTTTTGAATTTAAGAATACTAAAAATATATTTGTTATTTTATCAATAAATTTTGCACCTTGAAAGGAAAGATCTTTATTCAGAGTATTTGGTAACACTTTTTCTAAAAACACTATAATAATTTTACTTAAAAAAGTCGTATTAAAACTTTTATAAGTTTATGTAAGCTTTTTTTTTTTTGTTAGGTTTTATTTTTATTTTTATTTTTTTTGTTAATAACGATGATTGCATGATCAAATTAGTATATTTGAAGACTCTAATCTATATGGTTTAAAAAAAAAGAAAGTGCAAAAAAATTTAATAAAAACCTATTATTAATACTTAAATTTAATAATTTTATACTGTGCTAAAATTTTTTAGTGCATTAACTAGTACATATAATTTTTTATATTATAAAAATTTTAAAAATTATAACTTAGTTTCAATATAATTATTAGGCTAAATATATAACAATCTTAAAGTTGTATTTATATTGTATAAATCTAAGTTTGGATTTTATAAGGCTATAAAAATTAATTGAATATTATAAAAAATCATAAAATTAAATTTAAGGGGAAATTACACATCGGGGCCCAAATTTGAAAATAACTATGGATGAGGGCCCAACTTAAAAATATTTATTTATAAGGGC